ATGGTACTACCACTGTGGAGAACATTTTATTTATAGTAATCACCAAAAGCTAAAAATAATTCAAATGTACTTCAACAGGTGAACGGATAAACTAATTGTGGAAAATCTATACAATGGAATACTAATCTGTAGTTTAAAAAACTAAAATACTGACACATGTAACAATGAAGATGAATTTAAGAAGTATTTATGCTGAATGACGCCAGACACAGGAGTGCATACTGTATGGTTCCATTTATTCTAGAGCAAGCAAAATTAATCTGTAGAACAGAAAGCAGGTCAGAGGTTATATGAGACTAGAGCAGTGATGGCGAACCTATGACACGTGTGTCAGAGGTGACACGCGAACTCATTTTTTTGGTTGATTTTTCTTGGTTAAATGGCATTTAAATATATAAAATAAATATAAGAAATATAAATCTTTGTTTTACTATGGTTGCAAATATCAAAAATTTTCTATATGTGACATGGCACCAGAGTTAAGTTAGGGTTTTTCAAAATGCTGACACGCCGAGCTCAAAAGGTTCGCCATCACTGGACTAGAGGCCCAGTGCACGAATTCATGCACCAGTAGGTCCCTCGGCCTGGCCTGCGGGATCGGGTCGAAACCAGCTCTCTGATATCCCCTAAGGGGTCCCGATTTCGAGAGGGCCCAGGCCAGGCCTAGGGACCCCACCGGTGCATGATCGGGGCCGGGGAGAAACACGGCAGGTTGGCCAGCGGGGTGGGACCATGGGAGGACTCCAGGGCGTGTCCGGCCCGTCTTACCCAGTCCCAATCGGCTGGACCCCTGCAGCAAGCTAACCTTCCAGTTGGAGCGTCTGCCCCCGGTGGTCAGTGCACATCATAGTGAGCAGTTGAATGGCCTTAGCATATCATTAGCATATTACACTTTGATTGAACAGCCAACTGGTTGACCGGACACTTAGCATATTAGGCTTTTATAATACTAGTACTAGTATAGGATGGTGTGAGAAGGAGGGAGTGGATGCCTACAAGTAAGCATGAGGAATTCTTTGCAGTGATGTTTGCAAGCATGTTGTGGAAATGTGTCAAACTGTACACTTAAGAGAGTGCATTGTATCACACATGAAGTTGATTTTAAAAGATGAGGGATCTATTCTGAGCTCTACCATTAACTAACTAGCTCTTTGTGTTCTTGTGAAAGGAGCTTAATCCCTCTACATCTCTTTCCTATTGGGAAAATGGGGACAATAGGTAGCTCACCTACCCCATTTAGTTATTGTGGATTATAAATGAAATCATTTATTTTGAAATGCCTTTAAGAAAGTATAAAGTCATATACAAATGCTGGGTGGGGGTTAGGGGGGAAATTCCATAAACTCCTCTTAAGGGAAGAAAGGCAAGAACTGTGATGACCAATATATGAGCATATATCTGTATATAGATATATATATATATATATATATATATATATATATATTGGATTGTATTTGCAAGTCATCTTTTAACTCTGTTTAACATTGGTTGTGTCACTTCCCCTCTACCCATCAGTAAAATGACAGGGTTGGACTAGATCAGAGGTAGAAGACTGTAGGCTCAGAGACTCTTTAAAGCCTTCCAAATATGTTTTCTTTAGCCTCTGTAGTGTCGGCCTGTCCATCATTTATTTAAAATGTGACTAGTTGCCAGTGTTTAAAACTAGAGATTGCACATAAAGTTTTTTTGTTTGTTTGTTTTTCAGTTTATCTTTAGAAGTGAGCAGATATGACAAAACTGGGTCCATATTCCTACATGGCAACAAGTGCCTGAAGCTGTGTAGTAGCTGTTGTTTTTTTGTGGGCCATATGCTTTAGTTTCCCACAGTCTCCACCACACTCTGTAGCCTTTTCTGTTCTCTATAGTAACATTAAGAGGAAAGTTAATTCATTTTAGAGTGCTCTCTTTATGTTTAGGACATGATTTTACAGAGGGGAACCAAACAGACAAAATATCTATCATAGTGAGTAGAAAGTACTTATCTACATTATCAAAAATTAGGAGAAAGTTAGACCAAGAGTGCTATATATTTTAGGGAAAATGGGAGGAAACATGTATCTTTGTGGAAGTAAAAAAAAAATATTCCCATATATCTTTAGGCAAAAGTGTGTATGTGCCACAGTTATCTTGCCTGTTTTACTTGCTTACCTCACAAAATGGTAAGCAAGTACCTTTTTCCTTTTGTGATTCAATAAATTCATGGATTATCCAAAAAATTTATTCCAGTAAAATCATGGAGATTATTTCAGTATTTTAGAAAATGCCGGGAGGCAGAGAGAGTGACACAGGCTCTATTGAATGTTAACAGTTCTTACCTCTGTTCAAACCATCCCCACCTCAGCTTAAAATTTTTCCATTTAAACAAGCTCTTGTGATGCAACTCAATCTGAAACGAGCATCTCTATTAACAGTCATATAGCTGCCTTCTTCTGCAGTGGCCTGAACCCTGGTCCATGTGTACTGGAGATGTATCTTGAGTAATGCTATATCCCCTCTACCTTCTAGGAACTTACATCTCTATTTGGTCAACTCCTCAGTTCATATTGGCCAAGATTTTTCTATTGGCAGTCCTTTCAGGCTTTGATTTTGATCTCACAGTCAAGGAACCGTGATTTATATGCTTCTCACCTGCAAATAGGCCTTTGTATGGGCATAGATGCTTAATAAAATAGTTCTGTCTCTATTAGGCATAATGGTTTATTGCTCTGCCTTTAGATTTATGAAGGTCATGGGCTTTGAGAATTTGGGCTGGCTCTTTTTGACCAGTTGTGCTTGCCTAGATTGTGTGGTAGGCATCTGACTCATTTCTTCAGTCTTGGCTGGAAAGGTCATCTTGCTACCTGGTGAAGAAAACTACACTGCCCCCATCTGGTGGCAGTTACATCAAATTGCTGCATCATTAACTTGCTTCTGAAAGGACGGCCTTGTTCTTTAGTGGTGCCATGCATCACAAAACTGCAGAAAATAGCCATTCTTGATTTTTGTTCTGCAGCACTAACGGGGGATTGCACAGTTTTCTCTAAGGGACATGAACTGGAAAGAACATATTTTGGACAGTCAGGAGATTGACACTGTTCCAGGTTCTGCCCATAACTAGCCATGGGACTCCTAAGCCTCAATAGGTTCCTCTACCCATAAAGCAAAATGCTTGAACTTAATGTTCTCTACAGGCACTACTGGTATAAAATCTGTAGTTCTGTGATTTTTTTCAAAATTCAAAATATCTATAAAATGAAACAACTTATACTGTTTACAAAACAGGTATGAATATACATTGAAATTTTATACTTTATACTATTGTTTTCCTCAGTTCTTGATTTTAAGACACATCATGAATTTTAATAGCTTTTGGGGGGGGAATAGCACTTTATTAAATGTACATATTTATAATAAGAAAATTTCAGATATTGAAAAATTAAATTGTAAAAATTTGCATCTTAGCATTGACATTTTTGGGGGTGAGTGTGTGATAAGGTCTCTATAAGTGCATGTGAGGGTTAAAAATCTCTTTTTGTAAATACTCAAAATTCTAGAATTACAATTGACAATTGAACAGTGTAAGTGTAATTTAAAGTATTAGGAGAAAATGGAAAATGTTATTGAAGTACAAAGATTAAAGAGATGACAGTGGAAATTAAAGATTAATTTGGGTGATTATTTCATAAGTTATATAAATGTCTAAACAAAGGGTTTATACCTGAAACTAATATAAAATTACATGTCACTGTAATTGAAAAATAAAAAAAATATTTAGAAAAAATAAAGATTACTGGGGGCGGGGGGTGTCAAGCGGGGAAAAAGGAGATATATGTAAAACTTTAGACAATAAATAAAGAAAAGATTATATGGTAAATTTTATGTTTATCTGAATACTGAAGAAGAACATAGTGACAGGAAATATACAAACACGCAGTTTCCAGTAAATCATTATCAAAATACACACTGGCACATTTGAACCCATTAATCAATTTTTAACACGGAATTATGTGTGTATTTTAACATGCAACAGTGCTTTATGATTAAAGCTCTCTTTGGTTGTAAGGAACAGAAACTTACTCAAGCTGACTTAAAAAGGAATAATTATTGTAAAGATGCAACAGGAAATTCTGTGAACATCAACAGACAGGTGTTGAAGTGCAGCTGGGCTTCAGAGGAACTAGAGTGGCAGTCAAGACCCAAGTCCTATCTCAGGCCTGAGATCTCTATAACATGATGATTGCTCTACTAATTTTGCATGTGGCTGTTAGCCCCAAACCAATGCCATAACTTCAACTCAAGTTCCCGTACTGATGACTTCCCTCTGCATTCTCCTTCATCCAATTAGTGATTATCTCTGTGCAGTGACTTGTTGTTGTTGTTACATAGGCTCAATGCACAGGATAGTTCAAAGTAAATTATGAAGGTACACGAGCAGGCAGATGGCTAAGTGTCCAGTATTGGTTCCGCTATCCCAAACCTTCAACTTTGACAGCTGTGCAGCACCTTATCTATCTATTACCTCTTTTAACAATTACACAAAACACTTCATACAGTGTATGGGGAGTGATAACAAGGTTAGGAGTTCTAAGGATTTGTGGAACACTAAGGTGTAACAAATTTAAAGTATTTAAGAATGCTTCAGCTAGTAATTATTGCATTAAAGGGAAAAATAACACTGAGCTTCACAGGATTGTAGTTAGAATTAAGAGCTCAAAGTGCCAAGGACAGTAGTTGGAATGTAGTTTTTTCCCTTTCATCTGTTTATCTGTTTATTTGTAGGCTCTTTTGAAGATAGTTACTATTGTTCCTTTCTCCTGAGATTGGTGTTTAGAAACAATTGCTCTGATTTCTGCCACCCGATTGCCTCTGAGTCCTGAGAATCTAAGATTGCCGTCAAAGCCAGGCCAGTGCTAAGAGTAGTTGACAGTGGCATCAGCACCACCAACAGTGACAGCAGCCACCATAGTCATTGACTTTTCCAACATGACTCAGAAGAACTTGTATGTTTGTTTCTCTCACAGGTGGATTTGCTATCGTGTTTCTAGTAAGGACAAGCAACGGAATGAAATGTGCCTTGAAACGCATGTTTGTCAACAATGAGTATGATCTCCAAGTGTGCAAGAGAGAAATCCAGATAATGGTAAGGCTGCCCCTCAGACTTGAGACTGCTTGTGTAAAATGGGGGTGGGAAGAGACTGTGCCCTCTCATAAAGGCAGCGCGGAGAGGGTTGTTCCCTTTCCTGCAGTGGCAGAGAGGCCTCTGCACATCATGGGAATGAACAGCATTGGGGTGTAGGATGCTGCTCCTGCCTTCAGTTGCAGGGTTGAAGAGAAAGGGACCTGTTGAAAGAACAGCTATATTTTTAGGTCAGAGAAATAGTTTTGGACATTGGGAAAATTTATTTCACAACATGGTTCCCAGAATTAACTGTGGAGTTTAATCTGGAAACCCTAGCTTTTCAGCAAACCTCTTCTTCTAGTCTTGTCTTCTATCAGTTACCAACCCAGTTTTCAACTCTCTTGAGCTCTTCAGCATTCTGTGACATATCTTTCCACACATTTTTATTTTGTACATGTAGTTCTTTCCACCTGGAATGTTTCTCTCTTTTTTGGCCTAGAAACCTCTTACTCGGTGATTTCATTTATAAAAGTCTAAGAACAGGCAAAAGTGATCCTTGGTAATAAAAGTCAGAAAGCAGTTAGCTGGGTGTAAGAAATTGATTAGAAATGGGCATGTGCGAACTTTCTGGGCCATAGAAATGTTTTATACCTTGTTTTGGGTAGTGGTTACACAAGCCTTTATAATTGTTGAGCACCTTAAGATCTGTGCATTTTATTATATGTTAATTATATCTTAAAAACTTCATTTTCAAGATACAGATTAATGTTTTAAAAAAGAGTTCCTGTCTGTTAGAGGTATATGAAAAAATATTTATAGATAAAATAATATGATGTCTTGAAGTTAATGAGTGGATTTAGAAGAGAAACAAGATTGGCAATGAATTGATTATGATCAAGGCAGAGTGATGGGTATATGTAAGTTTGTTGGAGTTGCCTCTTTCACCTCTGTTTATCATTATACCTAAAAAATGTAAACAGTCTTTTAATCCATGTTTCCACAGTACTTTTGTTAATGCCAATTATATTGTTTATCTTGTTGTTTTATAAAACGTACTGCTATCAGAAAGTAAGTTATTTAAAATCAGAAACTTTATATTCCAGTGCATTGCTTGACATAGAGTAAATACTTAATAAACTTTGGATGAAATTAATGTATGAGTAATGGTAATAGCAGATGTGCATGTTCATCAAGAGATGATGATTCATTTGTGCTCTGGATTTTAATGCTTTTGTAAAGAGACCTAAAAAGTGGATGAGGATGGCATTGTAGGGATTCCACCAGGCTTCGCTTGCCCGGTTGCCCTTTCTGTGGCTACTTAGAGTAACTAGTTGTACTGTAGTTGACTACTGAAGGAACTCAGAATTTTAGAGAGCCTGGTACTACTTTGAATTCCAGAAAGCTGAAACTATTTGGGAAGTAACTGTTGATAGAAATGTGTTGCTGTCATCATTGCAAAACAAATAAGCAAAAAACCCTAAGGCTCATATAAATACAGTCAGGGCCATGAGGATCTGTCCACAAGGCACCAATGTTCTCCCACTACCTTGCCACACAACTCAAAATGACTGTGCTCACTGTATTTGCCTTTATCCACCTCATAGGTTTTCTGGATGCTTACTACTCCCACCTTGCTCCTTCCTTGCTCAGCTCTCACACTTCATTTCCTGTCTTTGCTTCTGCTATTTTCTCTGCCTGGAATGCCCTTCTCATTCATTTTCTGGTGTTAGCAAAGTCATTCCACTCTTGAACTTTCTCCCACTCATTTATAAACATGTTCGAGGGCTTACTTTGTGCTAAGCAGGCATTGGAGTAGAGGAACTAAGAAGACACAGGCCCCGTAGGAGCTCACAAATTAATGGACCTGACTAGGAATTAAATTATGTGAGTTCAAGCTCTGGTCTGGCCAGGTATTAGCTGTGGGAGTTTTGTTTTGAATTTTGTTTATATTTTTTAAAAACTTAAATACTCAAGTAGGTGAACTAAATAAACTTGTTACAAAAAACATCAAGCAATTCCCCAAGGGCTCCTCCTATGCCATTCAGGGTCCTAAGGCAACCACTTTTAGTTGATTGATTTGCTATATTTCTAACTAACATTGCTAATTCTTGATCTCCCCTCCCCAGTCCCTGGCAACCACTGATTTTTAATTTAATTTTATTTAATTTTATTTTTTTTTACTCTTGCCATAGTTTGCCTTTTTCAGAACTTCATATAGTTGAAGTTATTCAGTATGATTCAGTATGTAGCCTTTTCAGATTGGCTTCTCTCAGTAATATGCATTTAAGGTTTTTCATGTCTTTTTTATGGCTTGATAGCTCATTTATTTTTAGGGCTGAGTAATATTTCTTTGTATGGATGTATCACTGTTTACCTATCACCTACTGAAGGATATTTTGGTTGCTCCACATTTTAGTAGTTATGAATAAAGCAGCTATAAACATCTGTGTGCAGGTATTTGTGTGGGCATAATTTTCAACTTATTTAGATATTTCATATATTTTCAACTAAGCAATTATTATTTCAGGTTTAAAGATTCCCTTTTTATGTTTCTAAGCCAGGGCTAGAATCTGTTTTTAAACAGAATCCTCAGCTGATTCATATTTATATGAGCGTTTGACCATACTACTTAGAATCAGACTCTAAATGTCTTTAAAGATCTATTCAATAAGTACAGGATTAATTAATGGTAAGACTTGGGAAAAGGAGAGTACATTTGAGTGTAGAAAGGAGAATATCTAGGACTTCTTATGTAGGTAAACCCACAAGGGCCCCAGATACCTTGGCCTTCTATCACTCCAGGACCAGCCCTGGAGTTCTTCCTTTCACTACTACACTGGACTTGACAGTGTTTGTATGCCTGTGAATAACTCCTTGAAGAGAGCTATAAAGGAAATTTAGAGTTATAGAGAAGGAAAAGTAAGGCAAAAGTCTCCTTTACAAAGCAACTTTGGGAGAGGGAAATTAATTTCAGGCTTTAGTACTGCGTTTCTTCACCTTTTAAATTAAGAAGAAGCTGAAATTTGGTTAAAAGGGTCTGTGCAACCCTAGTGTGATTCTAGAAGTAGGTAGCAATAATGTTGACTCAAATTCAGAAAACATTGAATATTTGAATGGAGGGTCAAAAGGGGTTAATATACCTTTTTGGAAACTTACTTTACACAAATGTAAGCACTGTAAGAATCAGGAATCTGTAGGTTTGATGCTGACATTGCAAGGAAGGGTAGCTTGAGAAATGTAGGGAAATTAGTTATATGCAAAACTCACTTTTACTATTTTGAGGTGAGTGATATTATTGATATGCTATTTAGAATGCTATCTTCTTTGTTTTCTTGCACATGAATATAAAGGTTTTTAGGTATGTAATTAGGAATCGAGACCTCTGTTTTCTTGTAAGGCCTTAAGATTCTTAAGTAGGAATTCTGCTACAGGAATTGTGAAGTTAGGGATAGAATACTGTTCTGTACTACAGGCATCATTAATTAGGATCCCAGATAAACTTGAAATTTGTAACCTATAGGATCTGGGTTGAAGGAAGGGCTGATTTTCAAATGGTAGTTTTTGTGTGTGTTTGTGAAAAAAGTTTTTAAGCACTTAAAGCAGTTAAATATGAAAGTTAATAAGCTCACTATAAACCACTTTAGATATCTATTTAATAAAGTAGGTCTTCTAATAACATGTTTGTCGGTACTTCATTAATCTTGCTTAGTATTAATTTAAAAATAAAGTTTGAAATGACAACACAATCTCTTTAGACTTATCACTGTTAAAATCATGTAATATAAATTGATCTGATCTATAGTTAACTGAACATTCCCCACACGCTAAAACGCGGGTTTTGACTTACACTCACCTTATAGATATTTATCCCAATACCCCAAATGCTAGTTGTAGCCAAGGGCATCAAAGCATCTTCCCCATGTCCTGCCTCTTCCTGAGTAACTAGGTAGTTATTGAGATTGCCTCTCCCCCCTCCCTCCTTACTCCCTCCTTCTTGCCCTCCCCCAATGTGGATTCCATCCCATACCTCTATATGCAGTCTATTCTGTAAGCCTGGGACTGGTCCTTTAACTAAAGCCAGGGAAAGCTGGGGAATCTTCTGGCCTGCAGCTGCTGGGAGCTTTATGCCAGTGTACCGTCAATGTAAATCAGCCTCAATTTGCAGTAAGATTTTCTCTTGAACTTTTCTACATTTCAAAACTATTCAAACAGATCTTCTCCAACAGTTATAAACCAGTGATGTTTTACTCTAAGTTCTGAGATATTGCTGCATCATCATGTCATTAAAAGTCATGGTCTCCCTCCAAAGAGGTGGTCTTTTCTGGTAGATATATCTCAGAATCTCTGAACAGGAATTTTATCAGTTGAAGGTAAAGATGGACTTGAACTCATCAGCAAACATCTTGGCAAGCTGTTCTAGGATGCCATCTGCAGATGTTAATTATCTAGTTTGGGTCCTCTGATAGCTCTTAACCTCCTCTTGACTCTGCCAAATGCTTTTTATTTTTCTTGTAGATTCTTTCTATTCCTCTTTGGGCAATACAAAGTCACAGGCAACATTGCTGATTCTTTTTCAAACATGTTAGTGTAAAAATATTAGTCTTTCATTCCTCCTTGTGGACATTTGGAGGACACGATCTTCTGCTCCATTTTGTTTTCCAAGAACTTCTCTTCAGTTCTTCCTATTTCCAGGACTGTGTAAATGAAACAACTCCATAAGAGTTGATAATAATACTGAAAAGCAGAGGGAATAATAATCCTGTGAAACTTGAGTCCTGAAATCACTCTCTGTTTGGAGAAACTTGAACTCTAGAGGCTGCTTTTCTGCTTCATTATCTCTCTTGTCTGTTATCCAACGCAGTTGTTCTAAGACTTTTTGCTCATCAAGCTTCTTTCTCATTCCCATGTACTTGAAGATGATTTTGCTTTCTACCAAAAACAGTAGATCTGAGCTCACTCAAATTTTTTTCCCTAGCCTTAAACCTATATTCATATCCATTTTTATTTCCTTCCTGATTGCCAGGAAAGACGTGTCTAAGACAGTCCCTGTAACAATGCTCTGAATCCTCACCTCTTCTACCTACGTATGGGACTGTTCCATCATTTATCGCAGCCTTACAGCTTTCTTCTCCTGGCTCCTTCCATTCTCCATTGGTCATTTCTTTCCCATCCTAAAAATTCTTTTCCTCAGTGCTGCTTCTCTCTTCAGCACAAAATGTTTTGAAAGAGTAATCTGTAGTTGCTGGCTCTATATATTCAATTCCCATTCTTTGCAAGTCCAATTCAATTCTTACCTCCATTCCATGCCTTCTCTGAAACTGTTCTTGCATGGATCGCTAACGACTTGCCCATTGCCAATTGCAATGGTCACATTTCTGCCTTTGGTCTACCTTCTGAGGCAACTACATTTTTAATTTTTCATTCAGAGGAAAGTTCTAATGAGTTTTAACTTTGATGTTCAGGGTTCAGTTGTGTTCATTTGATATTGTGAGGCTTCCTCTTATTTGGCTATGTAATTTCAGATTGCAAGAGACTTTATTTATTACTTTAAACAGTGGAATGAATCTCTATGTGGTGATAGTTACTATTCTGTGGTACAATCTGCCAAATTTGTATGGCGACTCTTACAGAATCACATTTTTCTTACTCTCCCACTTTTTATTAAACCAAAACAAAATAATTTATTAAAACTAGTTAATAATAGATTTGTGCAAAAATATTTCCCAGCTAGCTCATTTTTTGCTCACTAATGACCTTAGATTTTGAACATCATCACTACACGGAATTGCCTATTAGATGTTGTAATAACTATACCAGAGTGAGAGGCAACTTCTGGTGCCTCACTGGGTCCTGACACAAAATTAATTCCACAAGCAGCCCTAGGAGATCATATGCAGTTCCAACCAGAGAGCTGGAAACATGACCCATCTTATTTATATACCAGCTGGTTGGCTTGAAAGGCTTAATTACAAGCAAAATGCTTAGGTCTGGATTCCATTGTAGTTCCTGTAAAACTGTAAAGCAGTTATTCTTTTATATAATTCCTAAAGGGAGAAAAACAGTATGAACAGTTTAAAAGTCAAGTTGAATATACTTGTTTCCCTACAACCAGGAAAAAACATCAGTTTCACTTTTCTGAATTAAAAACTGACATGTTTAAATAGTTCATACTGTTTCTCTCCTCGTAGCCCCTCTGCAGTGGTCCCGCAGTGTTGCTTCCAGTTTTCATGGATCACTAATGCAGTAAGCAAGGAGTCACCCTGTGTCCATTTGGTTCTAGGGTTCAGGAGAGGGCTATGGTTTAGTAGGGTTATTGGATTGCTATTGAAGATCTGGCCATGAATCTCAGAGACCACTGGGAATCTGCTCTTGACCCTGCTCCTTATCCTCTGTGTATTTAAGTTATCTGTGCTAATGGAACTGACTGGCTCATTGTGTTTCTGTTGGTGTCTGTAACTGATAATATTTTAACTCTTCTTCACAGAGGGACTTGTCGGGACACAAGAACATTGTGGGTTACATTGATTCTAGTATCAACAATGTGAGTAGTGGTGATGTATGGGAAGTGCTCATTCTGATGGACTTCTGTAGGGGTGAGTACATGAATCATATCTTAAGCTCTCATTTCACTAGCACTTGAATTGTCAAGGGCATGGTGGTTGTTTCAGTTATTACACTGTACTCTAATGTATGTTGTTCTGGTTTTAAAGATGGGAAAACCTAAGAGGCTAAAAGATACAGAGTCTGCTGTCACCTCTTGGTTATTCTGATAATGGCAAGGATCAGTGGTACAAACAGTTCAAAGTGGTGGATAATGCAAAACTCCATATTTTTTAGGTTTAGGAAGGGTTGGTGCTTGTATATGAATGAGTATGTATCAGAATGAGAATGAATGTGTTCTTTGTGGTGCTTTAAAACAATAATGAAGGCACATAATAAAGGTCCAACTCCAGATGGACTACAGAAACAATTCAGCTTCCCCACTCCCTCTCTCATGTGTTCTATTCTCCACCCACACCACCGTCCTTGTTATGGGATAAAAGAATCCTTTTCCTGTAATGGAAATGACCTTCCTCCCCTTGCTTGAGTGCTATAATTGCCAGGAAGGCTACATTCAAACTATGCTGCTCTTAGCAGTGGAGTTTAGCAGTTGAAAGCATGGAGTTTCAAGCAGTATTTATCTTGGGAAATCCAGACTATACCATGATTTTATTCAGAGTTGACGGCATTTCATACAACCATTGTTTGGAGGTGTGACTTTTTTTGTTTAAGCAGCTGCCACTTACAAGCTTGGGTCACTGTCTCACTGTTATGTAGTCACCCGTACTTCCACTAACATTTTCCTTGCCTTAGGATACTGTCCATAAACTAATTATGTTGCTTATCCCAAAAATGTGATGTCATCTGGTAATCTCAGCCTTTACTATATAATACCTGTTAACCTGATTTTTAAAAATACTACCAAATGTGAACTTGACAGTTTGTTTCCTCCTGCCCAATCCTTTTTGGACAGTAAGATGTTTAGAGATGAGGCAGTAGGAGCATTCAGGGATCTGGCTAATTTTGTAAATGAAGCCGTTAGGCTTTTGGTCCTGGAGATTAAATGGTGGCATAGCATTTCTACAGACTAGGTGGCAAGTAGTGAAGCCAGGAAGACAAGGCTGTTCCTGAAGTACAGACGATAAAAGCTGTCTTCTTTCCTTCTCCTAAGGTTTATTGTGCAATTGGATTCTTACTAAAAGATACGGCAAGTTGAACCTGTGGTCTTGTTTCATACACAGCAGGGACAGTATAACCAGACAACTAGAGCAGGACCATATTGTCAGCTCTATTACTAATCTTGAAGCCATAATGAGGGCAGCTCATGTCTGGAGTGCATAATGGAATAAGCAAACTGTTTTTTGATTTTTAATCCTCACCCGAGGATATTTTTTCCATTGATTTTTCTAGAGAGAGTGGAAGAGAGGGAGAGGAGGGGGAGAGAGAGAGAGAGAGAGAGAGAGAAACATTGATTGGTTGCCTCCTGCTCGCATCCGACTAGGGCCGGGGATCGATCTGCAACCGAGGTATGTGCCCTTGGCCAAGAAACAAACCTGTGACCCTTCCGTCTATGGGCCTACGCCCTAACCAGTGAACAACCAGCTAGGGCAGGAAACTGTTTTTGACACATTGGAGAAAGCACTGGATTGTTAAAAACACACACTAATTCCAGGGTGTGAATCAAGACAGCTGGGGTTTAGTCCTGGCTCAACTAGTCTGTTGAGCCAAGTAATCATGTCTGTTACCTTGGTCCAGGTTGCTGCTTTGTGGAGAGTCATTTATTCTCTTGGGTAAGAGATGAGTCTGAATGTTTATAACCTCTCTTTTCCTCTGCCCCCCTCTTAGGAGGCCAGGTGGTCAACCTGATGAACCAACGCCTGCAAACAGGTTTTACAGAGAATGAAGTGCTCCAGATATTTTGTGACACCTGTGAAGCTGTTGCTCGCCTCCATCAGTGCAAAACTCCTATTATTCATCGTGACCTGAAGGTAACAGACCACCTATTTAACTAAGTGTTTGTTCTTACAGAGTATTTTCTATCTGACCCAGGGATGGGGTAGACACTAGGGGATATGAGAGAAGTGTAAGGCATGGTTCCAAATTCTGAGCTTTCGTTCTTCTTGGGGAGAGAAAATGCAAAGGAAGAAAAGACACAACAGTACAGTACAGGTATCAGTTTTATTAAGTCGTTTTCAGAAATTCTTCATAATCATCAAATGCTTGAGCACACATTGTTTTTATTTTTCCTGATACATTGTCAAATTCACTTTTCCAGGGTCATGAAAAGTTATATCTAATTTAAATAGTTTATAAACAATGATGCTTGGTCTTTAAAGTCTATTTCCTATTTTGCAAAGTCTATTAATTTATTACTTTAAAAATGTGTCCTGCTAATTACCATCTGCTTGCACCAGGCCTTTCACGTTGTAGTCGATTCACAATGTTTGTTGAATAGAATCGGCTAGCAGTTATGGAGCACCAGCTGTGTGCCACACTCTATTCGACACTGTATGTACACTGTCCCTTTGGAGGAAGACATTCTTCTTTACGTTTTATAGTTGAGGCAACTCAGGAGTAGAGAGGTTATATGACTTGCCTAAGGTCACATAACTAAGAACAGTACCAGAGTTTGAGTACAATTCTTCTGATTCTAAATTGCAGCTTCTTTTTATTATATCCATGTTTTGAGAAATGTGCTTCATGGCTAATAACTTACATCAGCATTCCCTAGTGCGCTTGTTAAATGCAGGCTGCTGGGTTCCACACTGAATCTATTGGGCTGTAATTTTGGTAGCAGTGTCAGGGAGGCCCAGGAATTCATATCTTAATAAGCACCTCACGTGGTTTATATTCTGAAGTATACTCTTTTGTATGTTCAGCAGTATACTGGCATTAATGTTTGGGTTTTTTAAAAGAAATTTAGACATAATTCACATACCATAAAACTCACTCTTTTAAAGTGTACAATTCAATAAATAAATAAATAAATAAATAAATAAATAAAGTGTACAATTCAGTGGCTTTTAGTACATTTACAAGGCTGTGCAATCGTCCTCACTATCTGATTTCAGAACATTTCATCACCCCAGAAAGAAATCCTGTATCCATTAGCAATCACTCTTCATTTCCTGGTCCTCTAACCCTGGGTAACCACAAATCTATTTTCTATTGCCTGTTCTGGACATTTCATGTAAATGAACTCATGCAGTATATGACCTCTTGTGTCTGACTTCTTTCACCTAGAATAATGTTTTCAAGGTTCATCTATGTTGTAGCATGTATCAGTGCTTCTTTCCTTTTCAAGGCAGAATACTTCATTGTGTGGATATACCACATTTTGCTTATTCATTGATAAGTTGAGGGACATTTGAATTGTTTCTACTTTGGCTAGTATGACTAAAGCTACGATGAACAACCATGTGCTAGTTTTTATGTAGGTATATGTTTTTAGTGCTCTTGGGTGTATACCTAGGTGTAGAATTGCTAGGTCATATGGTAAATATGTTTAACTTTTTGACAAATTGCCAAACTGTTTTTCCACAGTGGCTGCACTATTTTACATTTCATTAGCAATATATGAGGGTTCTAATTTCTCCATATCCTCACCAATATTTGTTATTGTCCTTTTTTATTTTAGCCATTCGTAGTGGGTGTGAAATGGTACATACATACTGGCATTTCTATACTAAAGAAGTTAGCTTTCAGGAAGATACCGTACATATATACCTCCAAAGCCTTAGATAGCCTTCTCCATGTACCTCTGCCCACAGTCAGCCCTTTTTCTGAATAGAAAAATAATATATCCCAGTAAGTATTATGAGCATGGCATAGTATGAGTACATAATTCTGTACAGATATAATATGGTTCCTACTATCAAGATGTTTAAAGTATTGGTGAGAGGACATAAATGAAATATTTAGACTTGAAACAGAAATAGGTGAAATACAGAACTTTATAGAACAAAGTGATGAATAGATGAAAATCAAGTGGCTTAATATATGATCAGATAGTGAGATCAGGGAAATGGTGGTTGGAATCTTCTAGAAAAGTGGGATTTTGAAGTACTCGTGGGATATGGGTGGTCACAGAGAGGATGAAGGACATTTCAGGCAGAGAGTAGAGCCTGAGGTCTACCTAGAGAAGGGAACCACAAGGCTTTGAGGATGGAGAGGTGCATGGCAGGTTGCACACCAAGCTAGACGCCACACTCTGAGTATGTATTGATATTTTACTGATGAGTGAAATTCTTAGACCTGTTAGCATATCTTTTGAAATAAATAGTACCAATGTTTTAGGAGTTGTCCTTTGCTCCTGCTACCTACCTTGGAGAAGAGTTTGTGAGGGGCAAAAAATAGGGGAGAAGCGTGGCTGGGCAGCACCTGCCCTGGTCTGTGAGTGTGGGAACCCCAGCCTCTCTGGAGCCCCATTCTCTCTCTGTGTCAAATGAGGTTCAATTTCACATCGGAACTTGGATTTTGTAGCACTTGCAGTGTGACTTGTACCGAATTGTAAGTGCTGTGAGAGATGAACATGGCAGTGTCCTTCATATTGCCGGATGCAAAGGACACTGCTCAGTCCCTCTTATTCTCCTCCTGTGGCCTTTGGCTCCTTTGTGACTGTCTCCTCCCTTGCCCTCTGTGAAATAGTGCTCTACCCGCTCCTCAGGCTGTTGGTTACTCCTGTAAACACTTAGACATGAGCCTCGGTTCCCTCCTTCCTGAAGTGGAGACAACAGTGCCAGCTTTGTGAGGGTTGTAAGGTTAATGAGAGCATGCATGTCACCGTCCAGGCATATCCCTTGCACAGTAAGCCCGGAGAGGGTACGGAGATGAGAGCAAGGGGAGAGGGCCCTCGAGCATCCTTTAGAGAGTGCTATTCCCATGTTCTTAAACAATATCTTCCTTTATTTTGACTTTGTAAACATTTATTGGATTAAATGAGGCCAACATGATAATTATTTTACACCCATAAATAACCTACCCACTTTGCATATTCCCAGCATATTAATGCCCTGTTCACAGTGCTGCTGTGAGGTGGTAGGTAAGTGTCAGTGATGGGAACTTAAGGTACACGGAGTAGGTCAGTGCTTGGGCTCAGGCAGCAAGAGCCCCAGACTCTTCCTTCAGTGCACTGAACAGCCCACGAGAAGTCTCAGCAGAAGAACATGGAGCCAACTGGAATCGGAGGGTGAGGCCTCGGCCTGATCGAGAGGCTGCCACACTGGTTCCCAGCCTGCAGTGTTGGGCTGTGTAGATGCGCTTTAATTAGTATTGAAGACCATCAGGCTTGCTGCCAGGTGGCCAGTAGTGGTTCAGGGAACTTTGTTTCCCTTTCTCCTCTACCTGGGAAATAGGGAACGTAAATAGGGCCCATGGGAGAATTCCCGATTGTGATTGTTCTAGAGGAGTCCTGTTGCTGTTGATTTTAGTCATTGACTCCTGGTTGTTTTGATTGAAGCTTTCTACAACTCCCCAAATCTTACACTTGGTGCCATCTAAATGCTTCCATTAGCATGTTAGATTTTGTTGATTCCTACTAGTATGTGTGTGGTGGGCAGTCACCTTTGCCTGCCACACTGCCAGCTTCCTATGGCATGAGTGAAGTCCCCATATACCTCTTGTTTGCCTTGGCTATGTCTTGTTTGCCCTGGCTGTGTCATTTATCACAAAGCCTGGGCTACTCTGAGCTCTTTGTCACTGCGGAACCAGCCACTGCAGACCCAGCGGTAGCCAGAGCCAAGAAGTTCATTATTCTCCTGCTGCCCAGGGGAAGTGCTGGTTGCTGATCTTCTGGTTGCTTCTTTGTGAGCAGGATTTCCATTTGGTGAAGAGACACCACTGTGAATAAAAGTTAAAGGGACACAGGGAAGAGCACAGGCCAGGACAGCTGTGGACCCCCTGCTTGAGTCAGTACCACCCTGTGTAGGGCTCTGCTTGTTCACATGCAGAACTGAGAAAACCCCTTGTTCCGCCTGGTCTTTCTTTCGCATTACACATGGGAAATACACTGAAATTGGTCCTGGTCCTTAAGCAGCTTACGTTCTAAAAATAACTGAAACAGAAGTTCTGTTTTTTATTGAAGATCCTTCCTCAAATATGTTATTTTAACATTTTAATTATTTCCCCCATTTTAAAATTTTTATTTCTCTGAGGAAAGATAGAGGTTATTATTATAGATCATGGGATCATAAGCCTGGGAAGGTCCCCTAAGCCAGTCCTCTCCTTTGACCAGTCAGGTGACCTCTGACCAGAAAGGTTGTGACCTGCACAGTTAATTCCGTGACCAAATCGGAACAGAGGCTGAGGTATTTTTACTCCCATTTTGGATTTTGTTTGTTTGGTTTTGCTTTACTGTACTATGGTGTTTTTCTCAGCGCTTAAGAATGGGGGAAAAGGATTAAGACTAAATGCATCTAGATTAAAAAGTCATGCATGTCTTGTCAGAAAAGAGATTTGGATCTCATGAAGTACAATAGGCTGAAGATTCTTGTCCTATTTTTAGAATCACAGGCTTGAAAATCTGCATTCATCTAATCCTCCAAAATTTCCAGTGATAATAAATCCTGTGACTGAAATGCCTGAATGCCATATCTGTTTGAAATAATGTCAAGATGAAGAGGTCAGTAGGAGGTGGCTTTCCAGGCATTTTGGCTAAAGCTATAAGCAGAGTTTGGGAGTGATGACTTCAATAACACTCTTAAGCCAGTGGGTTGGGAAGTTAGGTCAGTGTATTAAACTCTCAGATAGCTGAATGACTTGAGGATTGTGAGCAATGATAACCAATATTAGGCTTACTTCCTAATCTCATTTAATCCCTCCTGGCCTTAGTCTAGACCTGGCTCTATTCACCTCACACCTGGACAATTGCACCTCACTGTCTCCTTTCTTTTTCTCCCTCCTCTATCACCATGCCAACTTTCCTAAAACACTTCTTTTCATCTGCTGCTGAAATGTTGAGTGGTTCCCTATTAGCCTTCTTTAGTTTGCCCTCTGTCTGCTTCTCTGGTCTTCTCTCCTTCTGCGCCCTTCTTTCTCCAGTCTGAACTGCCCATATTCCCTAATTGCATAATGCACATCAGTGCAGTGGGTGATGGTGTAGTCCCAGCAGTCAGAAAGCCTGAGTCCAATCCTGCTCTTCCAGTCTTGTGACCTCAGGTGTGTTAGAAATGGATCCCGTTTCTCATCTAAGTGGGGACAAAAAGGCTTTGTAAGAATTTCATGAAATACTATAGGTAAAAGTGCACGGGGCAGTGTCCAGCACGTAGTAAGTGCTATTAGTTGCTGATACCATTGTTGTTATCATGCCTGCCTCTGTGCCTTTGTTCCTGTTACTAGTTTCACTTTTCTAAGGCCTTCACTCCTCCATGGCCCAGCCTTATCTCATCTCCCCATTCATAAGAGCGCCAGCCCATAATGAGTTCAGTCCCATGTTTCCAGTTTTCTTTGCAGTACCAGTGACCAGCACAGTGCTGTTCCTGCTACAGTGGAGGAGTGGTGACTTTTTTTGGTGGGGGGGGGGCGAGGGGGGGTGAGACATTCTTGTATGAACTTATCTGGCCTTTTGGCATCCTTGGGGTTTTAGCAACGGCGTCTCTCCAGCTATGTGGTTTTTCTTCTTCTGGTCATCTGGTATTCTTGGGCTCCCGGCTCAGGTCCTCATGCTGTCTCAAATTTACCTATACCAAAAATTAATATGTCTTGAGTAAAGTAGTGCTTGTTGTTTTGGAGTTGTTATTTCACTGACAGATTCCTTTGATATCAGAATTTTACTAGGTTCTGGACTTCGTAAGTTCCATCCAGAACTGCCCAAAGAATTCATCTATAAAAAGACAAGGATAATACTGCACATTTTCCCACAGCTCTTTAATCACTTTGAGAATTAACTAAAATTTAGCAAATATTTATTAATTCTGAAAATTCTAACCTCTTGTAGTAAAGAAATTGATGTATGTTTTTACAAGGCCCAAGTGAAATAATTCATATCAGGAAGAACAAAGTACTGAAAGAACATAGGGAAGGAGTGATATTTGTCTGAGTGGGGGCTTGAAGAAGGCTTCAAAGAAGAGGCGGCATTTAAACTGGAGTTTGAAAGAGGAATGGGATTTTGATAGCTGGGTAAAGGTGAGGAATGAGAGAGAGCATTCAAGACTGATAGAAGAACATGACAAAAGATACAAAAGCTTGCCCAGCCGGTGTGGCTCAGTGGTTGAGTGTCAGCGTATGGCCAGGAAGGTAATGGTTTGATTCCTGGTCAGGGCACATGCAGAGGTTGTGGGCTCAATCCCTGGTGTGGGGCGTGCAGGAGGCAGCTGATTGATGATATTCATCATTGATGTTTCTATCTCTCTCTCCCTTTCCCTTCCTCTCTAAAATAAATTAAACACACACACACACACACGATGCAAAGGCTTGAAAATATAAGGACTGTTTCTGCAGAGGTAAGAAATGAGCCTGGAAATAGAAAAATGAGACTCTTGTTTCCCCATGTGGAGTTTCCTCTTTTTGCCCTCTCCACTCTAATTTTCCCCTGTTGCTGTGCGTCTTGTTTTGTTCCACGTGGGATGACCCCTGTTGATATACTTAGAGGATAATAACTTTCTTGTGCACATTAATGGGATTATCATAAATAAAATAATATTGTTTATGTTAATGAGATCCAAAATTTCACACACATTACTAAATGACATCTTGGAATGGATGGTTGGGGAATGTTTTTCAGGTTGAAAATATCCTCTTGCATGACCGAGGCCACTACGTCTTGTGTGACTTTGGAAGCGCCACCAACAAATTCCAGAACCCACAAACTGAAGGAGTGAATGCAGTAGAAGATGAGATTAAGAAGTAAGATTTTCCTTCTTTCTTGGAGATCAGCAGCTTTCAGCTTATGGATGAGAAGGTCAGGGTGGGATGACAATGATGCTAGTCAGTTTGTTCCTCTTCTTAGATAATTATGTTGGTGGTTGGCTTGTTTGATTTTAATTGGAGAATGTGGAGGGGGTTTATAGTTATTGATCAGTAGAGTAAAATGACTCTGATACACTTTAGCAATGGGCCTATGGTAATGGTATATAGATATTTTTATTTATGTCATATTGCCCTTAAAAAGCTGAATAGTACACACATCATAGAAATAAAACATCCGTGATGTTATTAGTCAGTTGGGTACACTTTTACTGAACCCTAACTTGCTTTGTATTCCTTTCTTCTTATAAGGAGCTCACCTGCAGTATATGGAGGGCTGAGTAGGGTATTGAAGTCTCTACGGATATTGAGTCACTGACTTCCATGAGGAAAAGCTTCTTTGGATATGTGACTCCAGTAAGAACCTGACCCATTTTTCCTGTTGTCCAAAGTGTTGGATTTTTACAGGCAACAGCACTCACTATTACTACTACGAATAAATCAGCTATCTAGCATGCCCACTCATATCCTGATCCTTTCTTTCGTTTCCTGCATCACAACCCTGGGAACGAAGCCTAGGGCAGGAAAACTTCTGGTCCAAGGCCCTAATGGACACCTAAACCACAGTATCCTCTGGGCTCTAGCGACTCAAGCAGCACAAGTCACATGCTTGGTAATACCAAGACACGTTGAAGATGAGCTCATATCTTCTTTTCTTGAGCCAGAGATTAGAGGAAAACTGTTGTTTCACTAATCCAGCAGCAAAGATCTATCCACCTCCCACCCCAGCCAGGGTCCATTTTCTGCTGTTCTCCAGCGTCCTCGCCAGTATTATATCTCTGTGTCAAGTCACATTAAAAGGGATTACTATTTTAAAAAATATACCAGCAAAATATAATATCAAACAACAGGGATTTATAGGAGAAAATTTTGTTATTTTAGGACCCAAGAAAGATTGCTTTTGGAGTTTATTTAATGCCACAGTGTCTGGGTCCCCACATGCTGTTGAGCAGGACTGCTGCTAGAGGGCCACGGGTGTGTACCAAGGACAGCCTTTTATTTTATCTGCACTAATATTGCATACTCTCTTCTGCAGATTGCTCCCAGAGAGCTTATATATGAAGTATTTCTGCTACCCCTGGTCTTTACATCATTGACATATTTAACAAAAAATGAATCTTTTGATTGTAGATACACAACGCTGTCCTATCGAGCACCAGAAATGGTCAACCTGTACAGTGGCAAAATCATCACTACGAAGGCAGACATTTGGGTAGGTGTCAACTAACCTATCCACATCTCAGATATCAGCAGTTTTGACTGTAATCTCCCAAGTTTAATCCAGAGTGCCATAGCAAGGGTGGCCACTGTGCCAACTTGTTGTCTACTTATCTCTCGAGGTTATTCTTAACCCAAGGTGACCAACCATTGCTTCTTTAAGCATGTGAAAGAAAATGACTTTAGAGCTCTGTGAGAATTATTCAGGTGACCTGCCCATTATTTAGATGGTTGTCACATATGTGATACTAGTTCTTAAGAGCAAAACAACTGAAATACTTGTTCTTTATTAGAGCTCAATTTGGTAATGATAGTAGAAATAATGTAACTCAGCAGCTTAATAATGGTGTTGGGCTCTAATTCAAACTATTAATAGGTTAATAGTACATAATTTTTATATCTGCTAGTAAATGTATCTCTCAGTAGACCCATTTGTAATTATGGTAAATACACCACTAGTAGCAATCTGCTTTCTTTATTTTTTTTAGGCTCTTGGATGTTTATTATATAAATTATGCTACTTCACTTTGCCATTTGGGGAGAGTCAAGTGGCAATATGTGATGGAAACTTCACAATTCCTGATAACTCTCGATATTCCCAAGACATGCACTGCTTAATTAGTAAGTATTCAAGTTTCTAGTTTTATATTTTTATCGCTAATCTCTAGGAATGAATTGAAGGGTAAAGGGACTGGTGGGTTGGATGCAAAGATAAAGAAGTTAGTTGATAATGGTTGGTCACTCAAACATAATATAACAGTAACCAGTGAGAGTGGTGGTTTGTTGTTTTTTTGCTAGAACTCTACACTCTGTTTTACACCTAAGCCAGCCACCTGAGCAGAAATCCTAACTGTACTTTGAGCAATATAGTACTGCTCTGTTCTCTTGTAGTCTGTTTTATAGGCTCTGGTACCAAAGGAGTCCAGCTGACTCATCAAGTGATGAGAAATTCATCTTTGCAAAACTGGAAGCAATTCAAATAATGATTGCAGTGCATTGGCTGGAGTGAATATATAATTAAGACTGTATAACTCTGTGGAACTAGGTTTTTCCTCTCATTTAGGTTAATCACTGGATTTTGATAACAAGTATTTAAACTCAGTGCTTTAAATGTTTTTTAAATTCCCCACTTTTTTGCATCGTCAGAGTAAGCATATGTACTAATGTTCATTAACCAGATGGTAGACCAGGTAATCTTTGCATAAGCCCCTGTACTGAAAAGCTAAAGAAACAGATTATTTTTATTATCTTTTTATATCAGTGAACACATGTAGCATCTAAATTTTAACCATTATGGATTATAAATCCTGAGCAACCCAGTTTGGGTCCTAAATGGGGATGTTCTGAAGAAAATAGAAGCCAATGTGGGCGAAGCATCTGACATTTTTTGAGGGCCTACTTTTACATAGTTTATACTTCATTTAATTCTTAAAACCTTATACAGTAAATGTAATTATCTCCATTTTATGCAAATGAGGAAAGTATAGGTAATTTATCCAAGTTAACATAGTTATAGTTTTTAAGTGACTACCCATTCCATTATGCCAATTTTATCAATCAACCTCTTCCATTTATTGACAAAAAAGTGAGGGAGGGTATTTAAAGGAATGGAATGGTTATTGGATTGTTTTCAGAGGTAAAGTGTTATATCTGTTGTAGAATTGCAGCTAATTTAAATGAGATTGGAAGGAAATATGAGAAAATATCCCAATTTGATGCTAGAATGATTGGATTTTTTTGTAACTCATTTTTTTTCTTTTTAACGTTTGTGCAGAAAATTCATATTAGGAAAAACAACTCTATGAATGACATCTTTACTGAACTCTGATTTATTTCAGTTTATAATCTTTTTGATGATTCTGTTGTCACCCTAAACTGATAGGTCTAAATTAAATTTATTGCCATTCCCCCACCCCCTTTTACTACCAATTCAAGGTTCCCCTCTCTTTTCAATTTCTATTAATGGCGTCGCCACTAAAGCCTAGGTGACTGAAATGTAAGGTTCTCTTTGGATTTGCCTACTCAGAGAGAGGGAGTATTTCCTAAATGGCATTAGGTTCTTTCTTTGACGTTTCCCATCATCATTTTGTTCTCTCCATTCTCATTACTGAAATGATAGCACAGTAATCCTCAGTTCTCGAACATCTCCCATCTCGAACAATTCTGGTTTTTGACCAAGTTGTTCATGGAAAAAATGTCCTCGTTTTTGAACAAAACTTCAGTTTTCTACCTGACAACCCTTTCGTGCTGATACGTACATCTGCATGACAAAAAGCACCTCTCAGGCCACAAACAAAGGAGAGAATGTGAGTCAGTTTATTTCTAAACCACTAAACCTTGCATTGTTAAACATCTCAGGAAATTGTGCTGTGAATATTGTGTGTGTGTGTGTATGTGTGTGTGTGTGTGTGTGTGTTTTGCTTTTGTTGCTGGTGAAATAGATGATTAGCACAGTTTTAAAGCATAAAGAGGCCATCCCAATGCTGATATTGCTAAAGGTGTGAAACTGCTCACAAAACAAAGATCACAGACAGTTGAAGAGGTAGAAAAACTGTTGTTGATTTGGATAAAGAAGAAGCAGTTAGCTGGTGACTGTATTTCAGTGACAGCATTTCCGAGGCAATGAGATGTGAAAAAGCAGAGAGGCTGCACCCATGAAATGAATGCTGAAAGTGATTCATTTAAGGCTGGTAGGGGTGGTTCGATAAATTTAAGAAAAGAAATGTTTATAGATTAAACAGTACATTAGACATGTACTAGTAGTATATATGTTTAAAAAAAGGTTAAGACAGGGAATCATTTAGGGGTCTGGAACAGATTAATTCAATTTACATTTTTCTAATGGGAAAAAATGATTTGGTTTTCGAACAAATCGCTTCTTGAACAGCCTTGGGGAGTGAATTCAGTTTGTGAACCGAGGTTCCACTCTATATACAGTACAGGCTCGGTCAGCTCATGCCTTTAGTAGTGGATTGTCTATAGCCTCCCCCTCTTTCTTCAGTCAGTCCAACACACCTTCACCACAAGATTAATCTTGTAAAATACCACCCTATCATGTGCCTATTCAGTAACTTCATGGTCACAGTAGGGCTCATACTCTTAGTGTGGCATTTAGAATCCTTCATACTCTGGTTCCATCCCACCCACCCAGCCTTATTTCCCTGTACTCTGACAAGAAAATCTATGCCCTGGCCTTCTGGCTCCTCTATTTCCTTATAGCAAGGCATTTTTTTATTTTTATTTTTTACTTTCTCCAAGTTCATCTTTGCTCAGACTATTCTCTCATCTGTAATGTCTTTTTCTTTGCTTTACCCTGACTGACTAAATTCTTCCCTGCCTTCAAGGACCAGCTCAAGTCCTGCCTCGTCTGCAAGCCCTTCACAAGACTGTAGCCTGATCAATTTTTTTCTGAACTTACTGTCTAAACCATTCATTTGATTTCTTAAGCAATAAATGGCCTTGCATTATTGTTTGTATATACTGTATATGTGAGTGTGTGTTTGTGTGTCTTAAAGATTTTTTTCCCTGAGGATTTTTCCATTTTCTGAAAGGGCAGCTAGAAACAGACAAGTGTTAAAAGTAGAGATGAATTTGTTATTTTGTGATTTCTTTTAGCCTTAAAACTAGCTTAGATCAACAACAACAACAACAAAATAATAAGTTTATGAAATGTAAGTTTCGGTTATAATTATTAAGAATAATCACTTGTTTAACAAGATCATATGAACTAAGGAGGCCAGAAGCAAGACCATGTAACTTCCTAGGTCCCAGAATATGAAGGTAGTAACTTTCATATTGAGAATTTGAGTCCCGATTGTGCAGAGCACAGTGAACTTCAAGTATCTTTGTTACAATTTTAAAACTTTGTTATTTACTTGTAGATATTTAAAATTTTAGGAAAGTAAGAGTTTCCCTTTCTGAGAAGGGAGGAAAAGGACAAATTGGACTTTTATGAGGAAAAAAAATTGCTTCCTAGCTAATGTAATAACTGTTAGGATATTATTAAATGAGGTAACATTTGTTTTTCTTAGGGTATATGTTGGAACCAGACCCTGACAAAAGGCCGGATATTTACCAGGTCTCCTACTTCTCATTTAAACTACTCAAGAAAGAATGCCCAATTCCAAATGTTCAGGTATGTGAAAGGTGCTTTTTAGGGGACGTAAACATAATTAATTGTCATCTAGAATTCTTGGGGTGTTAATCAGCAGTTTAGTGAATATAGATGTCCCTTGCTTTATCTAGTAGGGCTCATTCAAGCAAATTGCTAGGAAGTAATTGCTATAAAACAGAATCCACTTTTCCAATAGAATTTAATTCTAAAACTGAGGTAATTACACTGGGGAAAAACAAAAAACCCTAGGGATCGAGTTGAACACTTTGGGTAAAGATTGACTAAACTATGGTCTTGCTGATTTTCACAATTCACTAAGAGCTTATTGTATTTACCTAGAGATGGTTAGGCAGCTGCTTTCCTGAGACAAGGCCTGGACGTGCCCCACACCAATTGGAACCAAAGCCCCTTGTCCCTTTTCTCCTTCACTGCAGCAGAACTTTCTTGATTTTGCTTCTGCTGTTGGCCATCTGTGACTCACACTCCTTTTCCTCTACCCTCCCCACACACATCAGAATGTTTTCTACACTTTTAATCCTAAACTCTGCATTCTCAGTATCAGAATACAGTTCTTGAAAACACCCTTTTTACAGTCTTGGCATATTTTTCTGGTCATAGTACGATCCAACTTTCTTGAATATTGTACTAATGGATGCCGTCTCAAGTTCTGATCTGAAATTGTCTTGCCTGCTTCTCCAATAATGAACTTCTGATGTCATTTTGGGAGCTGATAAATAACATTCCACTTTCACTCCCACATTTGGATCAGATGTGGAAGTCATTCAGATGGAGCTCAGAATATTGGCTTTATCACTAATAAGATTGAGTCAGAGAACATAGCTTGGCCAGTTCCCTAACATTAGAGCCTAATGACTGAGCAGTGAGCACCTGATTCCTGAGAGACAGGCTCTTCCCTAAAGGAGGGAGAGCATAAGGAACCAAACAAGCTCACCTTTTTCTTCTAGTCTTATCAGTAAAATAAGTTACACCTTCTCCCTTGGGAAAGGAACACTTGGTGGGTGAAAAAGAATCTAGGAGACATTTTCTGCAGAAATTGCCCCCACCTAAAAATGTGAAGGAAATGAGACATCCTCTTAAAAGCCAGTTTCAGCCCTGACCGGTTTGGCTCAGTGGATAGAGCGTCGGCCTGCGGACTGAGAGGTCTCAGGTTCAATTCCGGTCAAGGGCATGTACCTTGGTTGCGGGCACATCCCCAGTAGGAGGTGTGCAGGAGGCAGCTGATCAATGTTTCTCTCTCATCGATGTTTCTAACTCTCTATCCCTCTCTCTTCCTCTCTGTAAAAAATCAATAAAATATATTTTTAAAAAAGCCAGTTTCATTACTAGTATTTTGTTTGTCATGTTTCCCAGAACAGGGGATACTGTACAGTAATCTAACATGACCGTGTTTTCTTTCACTATCCCATTTTCCCATTCATAAAGTTAAATAATATGAAATATAATTGGAAGCATTCAGATTGGTAACCAGTTTTTAATAAGTCAGCTTCACAAGTCTCAAGTCATTTGATGCTTGCTCAGCAGTGGTAAACAGTGGTCTTGTGGTTAGAGACAGCTAGTGCTCCCTGGAGAGACGGTATTGGATGGATGGTGCCGAATCCAAGCTCAAGGAGCTCAGTCAGCATGGCTTGTGGACTGAGTAGTGCCTCATGTGCTGGAAAGAGGTGCTGGCTCAGCAACTAGACACACTGGCTGTGGTTTTCTCCCAGCATTCTGACTAGAAGGTTGGGCACACTAGTCAGCTCTGACTTCTCTAATATCTAGCTGAGAACTTAAATAATAATAAAGCACGGGCGGTGTGGCTCAGTGGTTGAGCATTGACCAGGAAGTCACAGTTTGATTCCCAGTCAGGGCACATACCCAGGTTACGGGCAAATCCCCAGGGTGGGACATGCAGGATGCAGCCAATCAATGATTCTCTCTCATTATTGATGTTTCTATCTCTCTCTCCTCCCCTTCCTCTCTGAAATCAATAAAAATGTTTTTTAAAAATTTTTTTAAAGTAATATAGGTTACAGACATCTCTTTTCATTCCTATCATAACCTCACTTCTAAGCTGTGCTTTAGGGAGAGAAGGGTACTGACATCAAACCCCACTGACCTTACCATACAAAAGGTTGAGAATTATGGCAGGGGAATGTGTCGCAGGGGGGTTGCTCTGTCCTCTTCTCAGATACTTTGTCCCTCTGACTGGGGCTGAGTCCAGTGGGATATGCTCTACCAGAGATCGGGGTCTAGAAGCCACTCTGGAAAAACCCAACACATATTTTCATCAGCCCAATCATGGTGATCATTCTTCTACAAAGAAATCTGTGATGTTCTTTTTAAATTTTTTCTTTCATTCTATAGAACTCTCCCATTCCTACAAAGCTTCCTGAGCCAGTGAAAGCCAGTGAGGCAGCTGCAAAGAAGACCCAGCCAAAGGCCAGGTAAGAAATGCCTCAGTGAGCACCTGTTGTGCTCTGTTGCCTCAGTAGCAGGGGAGGGAGGGTGCCTTGTATTTCTTGATTCTTCTACTGCCATGGCCAAGAGGCTGCCCAGCACAAGAAAGCAAGCTATATATCTCCTGTAGGCAGAAGCTATCCTTTGGGAATGCAAGGAGGAATCTAATGAAATACAATGATCTACATTTGAAAGAGAATAAAAAATTCCACAGCTGTTTCCCTTGCTTGGGATTAGGCACAGGAGCATTCAGAGATGAGGCAACAGCAGACTTTAAATATTGCTAGTACAAGAGTGTCCTGGCCTTTGTTTAGCCTCCTTCAGCACCCTAATCCTCTACCTCCCTTTCCTTTTTACTCACTAAGGCCCTGGCCACATTAAGGAAGTACAGGTCAAAGCACTGAGTCCATGAAACAGCCAAAGAGCCTGTGGATCTTAGTTAATCACATCCTGTGTAACCTAGGGTGTTCCAAGACACAGATGATAAGAGAGGACTACAGAAGCTAGTATTTTATTTGGGGAAATGCCTGAGAGAGAAAATAGGGAGGGAGCCAGGGAAGGTTGGGAGAGCCATCAGAAGGTGATGTAAGTCTGACCTAGAGAGAGGGAGGAGAAAGTTGGGTGGAAGTGACCTAAAAATTGCCACACAATTTAAGGAAGGTTTGCCAAAGGGGAATCCTTGGTCAAAGTCAGCTACCAGAGGAGTCTCCTACGTCCTACGACCTGGTCTGCCTTAATATCCCTGTGGCTGGGATAGTAAGACTGGGGACCGCCTATGGGAAGCATGGCCTCAGGGCAAACACAGCAGTAGCAGTGAATTTCGGAGCACAGCAGCTGGAGTGCTTGGTCTTTCATACCCCTTGTATATGAAGGTCTGCAGTACACATCCTCATGACTGCTATGCCTTCCCAATGGCAAATTCTAAGGGTAGCCCCAGAGATGTTTATACCCTTTTTTCTCCCACCACACTCCCATGGCAAGGAAACGTTAAGCAGCAAATTATCAACAAAATACCTTAGATGGGAATATGTGAATTTTTATAGAACAGTAAAATAACTTCTACATTTAAAAAAAATTCTTGAATGTTTATAGAATGCCTGCAGATGTGGCTCTAAAGTAACGAGACTTTGGTTTTTAACAAATTTAGCAAACTATATTCAGATTGTTACTTTGCAGTCTGTTTATTTCTTGCTTAAGTCTGCCATGCTCACCTCGGAATTGCTTCTGGGACTAATTTAATAGCTTAATATTTGGGTTTATGGCCTTCTGTACTAGATCCAAACATGGTATGTACTGAGGCTAATCAAGGATCTCTTCCCACAAAGCACACACATTTGTAAAAAGGATAACAACGATTAACATTTGAGTGGTACTCTGTTGTGAAAATGGATAAAATAGTACCTATGTCATAAGGCAGATGTGAACATCAAATGCATAAATGGCTGTGCAGCTGTTTTATAAACTGTAGAGTGCCCAAACTGTTAATTTCTATGGACCTCAATAATGCTGTGAGAATACAGACATGACAGCCAAGAGATTTGGGTCTAAGTCATCCTATCTATAATTTACAGTGATTTCATTTTTGTATTTACTCCCCAATCCTAACAGGTGCGGTTTTTCTTTCTAACTCTTTATAAAGTGGCCACTATTCATTGAGGCATCTTATATACCAAATACCTTACTAGGTACTTTACATAAATAAGATGGCTTTCCCCACCCCGTTTTAAACAAATTTATGAGGTTGTTGTTATTATCACTTTATAGATGAGGAAACAGACTCAGAATTTTAAGTTGCCCAAGGCAGTTAATCACTATGGGGTTAGTAAAAGAACCAGAACTCCAGCATCCACACTCTATACTCTATACCTTAAGTGATTTGCCCAAGATCACACAGAGAGGACAACTTAGAGTCGGGTCTCCTGGTTTCTCAGTCTGTATTTTTTCACAGCATATTGAGACCTGTTCAAACTGATAGTTCAAACATTCTGCATTTCATAAAATGGTTTCACAGTCATTGTTGCATTTGATGTTCACATCCGCCTCTGATGTAGTGTTCACATCCGCCTCATGATGTAGGTATTGTTTTCCCCATTTTACATATAAGGGACCCAAGGCTAAAAGAGGTTAAATGATATGCCCATTGTTATGCAGTTGGTAGGTAGGGAGCTAGTGCTCAAATATAGTTTTCTTTGATTCTAAATCCTAGTGTCTCTAAGATATTATTACCCTTAAGAGAAGTCCACTGTGGGAGTTTTTAATATTTGTTTTTCTACTCAAGTCTGTTTAAGTTCTGACCCTTGGCTTTATCTTTCTTACACCTTTCTCAACATCTGTCCCATTTCCCTATCCACCTCCCTTCCCCAGGTTATAGCCTCCCCAAATGTGAGCGCTTTTATATTATCAGTTCTCTCCCCAGCATAAGAGCTTCTTTCTAGCACAGTGATTTTCAACCATTGTACTGCAAGAATTTTAAAAACATGCAATACCTGACTACAGTGGGGCCTTGACTTACGAGTTTAATTCGTTCCGACCGAGCTCGTTAAGGAGCTCGTTAACTCAAATTACTCTATCAACTCAATGCAAAAAATCGGCAGAGAGACAGCTGGTATCTCAAAAAACTCGTTAGTCGGGACACTCGTAAGTCAAGGCCCCACTGTATTTAGTCAGGGGTACTAACTCTTTTGCCTTAGATTGTCAAGTGAAAAAAATGACAACAGCCAACACAACAATAGCCTTCTGGTATAAATGAATCAAAATTATACCTATTTTTTAGTCAGATCAGCCAAAAACATAATATATTTCTGGGTGTGCCACAGAATTTTAATAATTGGTTTACGTGTGCCATGGATGAAAAAGGTTGAAAATCATTCTCTAGCAGGATACTAGTGAAAAGCCATGGGTCCAGAATGGAATACCTTGGAGGTTTGTCACAGGGAAGGACATGGGGCCAGTCGCTTTGCTTCCTGTTTTGCATTTCATGGAGGCTGTGCCAGGCATATTTTGGAAATATCCACGAAGCTTGTTTATTTTGGCCTTAACCTCAGTCAGCTGTATTCCCTAAAGTACATTTTCAAAGGACAACCACTCTGATCTGAGTGGGCTGGCTCCCTGGACCGCTCTAATGAATGGAAGTCACCACCTGGGGTTTAGCACCATCACAAGAAAAGGCAGACCATACAGCAGTCCTCCCCATATTAATTTGGATAGATTTGGCTCTGACTTAAAGAAACTCCAAAATTACAGTGGCTTCTGTAAGATAGATGTTTATTTTTTTCTTTAAGTAAATAGAGTCTGGGGTAAGTAGTGCAGGGATGATAGTGTAGTTCTGCTCCACAAAGTCCTCAGGTGCCCGGGCTTCTTCATGCTCACCACTCTACCATCCCTCAGGCTCTGGCCATGACCTCATGGACCAATGTGGCAGCATCCCTGTTCCAAGCAGCAGGATCAAGGAATGACCAAAGAAGAAGAGAGACAAAGGGCATGTACCAGTTATTTCTTAAGGTTTCTAGCAACTGCCACATAACAATCTGTGTATATAACACGTAAGGCCAGAACTTAGACACATGGCCACACCTGATTATAAGAGAGACTGGGAAATTTGGTTTTTACTATAGGTGACTCTATGCCGAGGTAGATATTGTATTACCATGGGAAAAAACAAATATGTGTATTGGAGGAAATGGAGTTCCTGTCACACTCCCCAAATACTTCAACTTGATTTATTTACTTATTTCTTTTAATTGCCTTATTGGATTAATTTATTTGCATACTTTTTATAGTAGAAAGACCATTTTGACAGCTAGTTCTAACCAAGTTTGAGTTCCCTCTACATCTGAAAACAACCTGCTTCAAACCCCTCTTTGCATCATCACCCAAAGTGTATTCTGGGAAATTCTAGGAAATGTTAGGTAGAAGGGCCACAAGGTCAAATAGATTTGAGAAACACTGCATTCTATACAGTGCTTTCTTTAAGGGTCTCTATACACATGAAAGGTTCTGCTGGAATATTAAAACATTTTCCCATGAAATCTTTATTTATAACATCTAGTAACACAGAATGCCTGCTGGGAAATGTTGATTAAGCAAATCTAGAAGGTTTGGATGAGTGTGGAGAACAAAACTAATCCATCATGTACTCTGCCCCTCCCCTATTTTCTCACACATTAATATGAATCTTTGTTTTTTCTTTTCCTCTTCTAGACTGACAGATCCCATTCCCACCACAGAGACTTCCATTGCACCCCGCCAGAGGCCTAAAGCTGGGCAGACCCAGCCAAACCCAGGAATCCTTCCCATCCAGCCAGCCCTGACACCTCGAAAGAGGGCCACGGTTCAGCCCCCACCTCAGGCTGCAGGTCAGTTCCTAGGAGCTTTGAAAGTTGGTACACCTCTTTGTTATCCTGGATAATGAGAAGTCTTGGAAAGCTTAATTTTGCTTCAGGAAGGGAATACAGAGCTACATAAAGAACAATAGTTTTCTGCCCTGGCCAGGTGGCTCAGTTGGTTGGAGCGCCAACCCAAAGGTTGCAGGTTTGATTCCCGTTCAGGGTACATACTTAGGTTGAGGGTTTGAGCCCTGGTTGGGGCACGTACAGAAAGCAACCTATCATTATCTCTCTCTCTCTCTCCCACTCTGTCTTCCTTTCTCTCTAAAGATCAATTAAAAAACATATCCTCACATGAGGATTACAAAAAGAAGAATGGTTTTCTTTAAGGACCAAGAGGTAAGCTGCCATTGAAGTTACATGGCAGGAGGCTGGTGAAAGGGGAGGCCTTTCATTGAATTCTGCAGGGGATCACCAAGACCACCGAAGCCTGTTGTCTCTATTTTTTTCTAGTCTTGGCCCTAATTTTGTGCCCTGGTCCATTCATCCCAGACCTACCTCTTTATTTCATATACTTTTCTTTGCCTCTAAACACCAAGACATACCTCTTTTTGACATAGAGAAATTATTTCTTTAATTCTGTCTCTTGAAGTATCTGTTACCACTCTGTGCTTTGGTATTCTCTTTCTGGTGAGGTGACTAAGTTTTGTTTCATAAAGAGGATTGATCCAAATTATCAAGTAACTGAACTCAGCCATCACTTCCCTTACCAGGAAGCTGTTTTTGGTAAATTTGGTAGCCATTTACTTACAAGGCATCCAGACTGGAATTGTGCAACCTACATATAAAACATCAAAGAATGCTTTTATTCTGCAGAATGCCAACAAGTACAAAGATTGTATGTATATACATTAGCATCAAAGGCTAATTGAATTTGTAGATAATCAAGATACTGACTAAAGGAGTAATTGACTAAATGGGTTGGTGAATAAAGGAAAGCTTTTTGAAGGAGGCAAATATAGAATTGTTTGTTGAACCTTGTTTTGAAAAATATGAAGTGCAGCCCAGCCAGCATAGCTCAGTGATTGAGCGTCGACCTATGAACCAGGAGGTCACGGTCAATTCCTGGTCAGGGCACATGCCCGGGTTGTGAGCTCTATCCCCAGTGTGGGGCATGGAGAAGACAGCCAATCAATGATTCTCTTTCATCATTGATGTTTCCAAGTCTCTCTCCCTTTCCCTTCCTCTCTGAAATCAATAAGAATATATATATTTTTAAAAAGTGCATAGATTAGCAAGAAGGAAGGACATTCCAGATGCAAAGACCGTGAGGAGCACATGGATTTGGGGATTATCTGTCCACTTATCACCCCCTCTTTCTTATGTTGGCAAGAAGGAAAGTCGTTTTTGGAATAGTGTTGAGCTCTTACATGGAATTTATTCTCATTGCAGGACCCAGCAATCAGCCTGGTCTTTTAGCCAGTGTTCCCCAATCAAAAACTCAGCCCCCACCCAGCCAACCTCTACCACAGTCCCAGCCCAAGCAGCCTCAGGCTCCACCCACCCCACAACAGACGCCTTCCACTCCTGCCCAGGGTCTGCCCTCTCAGGCCCAGGCCACACCCCAGCACCAGCAGCAACTCTTCCTCAAGCAGCAACAGCAGCAGCAGCAGCAGCAGCAGCAGCAACAACAACAACAGCCACCACCACCATCACAGCAGCCAGCAGGCACATTTTACCAGCAGCAGCAGCCGCCACAGACACAGGCTCAACAGGTAAGGTGGTCAGAGTATGACCTTTGCATTGCGTATCCCAGTCATCACTGTGAAAAGACCCTCTAGGTCAGTGGTTCTCAACCTTCCTAATGCCGCGACCCTTTAATACAGTTCCTCATGTTGTGGTGACGCCCAATTTCATTGTTACAAATTGAACATAATTAAAGAATAGTGATTAATCACAAAAACAATATGTAATTATATATGTGTTTTCCGATGGTCTTAGGCAACCCCTGTGAAAGGGTCGTTCGACCTCCAAAGGGGTCGCGACCCACAGGTTGAGAACCGCTGTTCTAGGTACAGAAATCTGCCTTGGGAAGACTGATCCATTAATGACCTCATCACTGCTTCTCCCAGATGTAAATGCTGTAAAGCACTGCAGAGTGTAGCAATCACAGGATCACTCTGCCCCTTTCACCTTTCTTCTCAGGCTTTGGGAATTCTTCCCCTGACGGAGGAACTTCAGGAAGGAAGCTAATTTTTAAGAACTCTTTTTTTCCCCTCTCTCTCACACATAACTACAAGACCATTATCATACTGAAACAAAATACAATAATTTCTTATCAAATATCCAGAAGTGTTTAGCCCTTTATCATGTCTCATAATTTTTTTTAATATATTCTTTTATTGATTAAGATATTACATATGAGTCCTTATACCCACGTTACCCCCTACCCCCCCCCCATGCCCTCACCCCCCCGTTGTCCGTGTCCATTGGTTAGACCTATATGCTTGCATGTAAGTCCTTTGGTTGATCTTTCCCCCTTACCCCCACCCTCCCCTACCTTCCCTCCAAGGCCCGACAGTCCAATCAATGCCTCTCCGTCTCTGGATCAGTCCTTGTTCATCAGTTTATGATGTTCATTATATTCCACAAATGAGTGAGATCATGTCTCATAATTAAAGTTGGCTTGTTTGAATTAGGATCCAAAGTCCCCATATTGTATTTAGTGTGATTTTTTTCATTATATTTTCTTATATTTTTCACATATTTTATTTTGAACATAATCATTTTATAATGAGTACTATATCTTTCATCTTTTAAGTCCCTTTTTAACCATAGGTACCCTCTCCCTCTTTTTACCCCTTTTTGTCTTTTTTTTTTTTTTTTTAAGAAACTGGGTCACTTGTCCTGTAGAATTTTCCACATTCTGGATTTGGTTGATGGCATCCCTGTGGTGATGTTTAATATGTTTCTCCATCCCCTGTGTAAACTGGTAATTTCCTGAGGCTTGCTCAGTATTCCATTCAGTTTGATTGTTCTTTGTTTTTCTGGTTATATCACATCAGGGGCATATAATGTCTGGTTGTCCTCTCTTTTAATAATATTAAGATTAATAAGTGGGTTTGGTGTTGTCCATTTGATCCATTCATTTGATGTTCCACATCAGCTTAGCAGTCATTGCTAATTATTTCCTAAGTCTATTAATTCATTAGGGATGGCAAAATGGTAATATTCTAGCATTTCCTCTTCATTAAAGGGTTGGAATTTATCTATAAAGAATTTTTTTCATCAACTATTTTATTAACCTAAGGTATTGTTTGTGCAGAAAAGGCAGAAAAATTTATGATTCTTTTCCTATTTTTACCAGTTTCAGAATGAGTTTGTTCTTAGTATCATCCAAAGGTGAATAATGAGGTTTTTGTTTTAGTATCATTAGGAACTTGTGGATCTTAACATATTTGATATGTGTCCATACATTGTATTTTTTAAAATTTTGTTTATTTTGATGCTCAAAGCATCCCAACTTTGTCCAGTGAAAGTCTTCAAATTGGCTCCTAGATCCTTCGGCTGGGACTCCAGTTGTCTTTATGGTTTCCTTGTTATTCATTGTAACAAGCTGTTCCAGGCTCATTCTACCTGAAATCAGCCATTTCTCTAAGGAGCTTCATTTCCTTTTCATGGAAATGGTCTTTAGAGACCACATTTTTGGTGCTAGGGATACTCATTTGCTAATGGGTTAGTTATTGTTTTTAGACCTTTTCAATGGACAGTAGTTAGGAAATAAATTTTGTTTTCTTAATAGAATATATACCATGAATTCAAATTTATATTCCTAATTCAGATGTATAATTACAGGATTTTTGTTTAACTTCTTAGATTTTATATTTGTACTAAAGGTCTGGTGCACAGATTCGTGCACATTGAAAGCAAATTAATTAGAAGAAATATTTTAGAAGTCGTGGAGGGACTGTGGGAGGTTGGCGTATCCGGCCAGTCTGGCCCAGTCCTGATCGGCCTGACCCTAGCAGCAAGCTAACCTACCGTTTGGGGCGTCTGCCCCCTGGTGGTCAGTGCACTGTCATAGCAACTGGTTGAACGGTTGGAGGGACAATTAGCATATTAAGCTTTTATATATATATTTTTTTTCTAATTGAAGTCTTGATTCCTAATAACATTAACATAATTACTTATTTGATTTATAGTTTCAAGATAACAATTCTAATAGGATTACTGAAAATAGTTTAAGATTTCTTTGCCCTCTTTACCCTTAGAATGTTTAGCATATTATTTTCTGGGGAGTTTGGCTATTAATTTGACACATGGGTTTCTTTGCTTCATTTTGCTTTTGATTTTTAGTTATTGACTTTTAAATTTTGTTTTAATTTTGTTTTGCAAACATGTAAAATATTTACATAGTTTCAAAGTTAAATCCGCAAAATTCTGTCCCTTCCATCCCATATATAGAGGTAGTCCTCATTCCTATTTACAGCTAGAGAGTTGGGTATATAGGATAGTTTATTCAATCAGTCCCCTGTTGATAGACATTTGGTTGTTTCCAGCATTTCACGGTTATAAATAGGCAACTATTTACTGACATCTGCTTCTTTGCTAACCCTTTAACTTTACCTCATTAGGCAAACAATATCCTGTCAATTAGCTCTATAATGAAGTAAAGCTATTTAGGATGTTAAGCGACAAGATCTTGGAGTTTTGTTCATCAGTAGGCCCTTGTTTGAGCTCTATTTGTGTGCCTAGCACATAGTCCTTAGTGGGTAGGAGAAAGACAGAAAATAAGTTGCTCTATTTTTTGGATGCTTTATAAGAGAATATAACTTGACACAATTCATTACCAATATATAATAAAATGTCATTAAATGTAATAATCTGGATATTTTGAATGTTTAAAGTTGGAGAGTTAGTAAAGATAGAGCTAGTGGGAAATAATTTTCAGAAAGAGATGACCTTAATAGTTTGGTTAACATTTAGGGGCTTTTTTGTTTGTTTTATTTTCAGTGCCGTCATTGCTTCATCCTGTTCATCTAGGGAAGAATTTTAATCTTGGCTACTTCCAAATCCCTTTAAGAGGAGAATTACTTCTGTGATTGGGAGATCATTTATTAGCTTCTGTTACACTCCATGTATGGAGTCACAGATGTGTAGTGAGATGGACACCCTCAGGCGTGGCATAGAAGCCCACATGGGAGCTGGTCTGCAGTACAGGAGGCAGCATAGCGTAGTGGATGGAGCCTGGCAGTGTAAGGTGCTGCTCTGTTTGTTTTAATGTCTTCAGGTTCCACTCAGGAGTTTTAGGCCAAGTTACAAGACTTCTGCCTTCCTTTGCCTTTGGCTTCATCACTGGTCTTAGTTGTTACTGCGACAGGTTTTTATTCACCTCCTCATTTCTTGCTCCTTTCTCCTGCTTAGTTTCAGGCAGTACACCCAGCAACCCAGCAACCAGCAATTGCCCAGTTCCCTGTGGTGTCCCAAGGAAGCTCTCAACAGCAGCTGATACAGAACTTTTACCAGCAGCAGCAGCAGCAGCAGCAGCAGCAGACCACAAACCTGCATCAGCAGCAGCTGCTGACTCAGCAGGCTGCTGTGCAGCAGAAGCCTGCTGTAGCAGCCGGACAGCAACCCCAGGCTCAGCCAGCCGCAGCCCCACAGCAGTCCCCTGCCCAGGAGCCAATGGTAAGAATCAGCCAGGGCTCGGAGAGCAAAGGAAGAGGAGAATGCAGTGAGGGCTTGGGAAACAGGCTGTAGCAGCTGGGTGTTGGCCTCTGGCCTAGAACTAGGCTGATTCCCCACCCTTGTGGTTAAAATATTTGATCTTTTCTTGATATAGTCAATAACAGGATGAGGTAATCCATCAATGGTAGCGGTTTTTTAAAAAATAACTCTAGGCTACTGATGAATATTTAATTTATTAATTTGACATTAGGATGGCAGAAAGAGCTGTTCATTTTCTCTTGTGTTGAGCAGCCAAGGACCTGGGCAAGATTAGAATTAGTCCCTTTCCCTTCTTCAAGGGGCAGTTTGGCCATTATGGCCTTTTCTGTCTTTGGAGGTTCATACGAACCCCCACATTTACCCTGAGTCCTGACAGTGTTGTGTTTATTCTTTGTCTTGGACAACATTATTGGCCACCTCAATCGAGTATACCATACAGTACCCTTCAAGGGGGCCTGCATGCCTGGGACCATTTGCCATGGCCTAATCCCTTTGGACACCAGAGTATCTAAGTATTGTTTGAGCCCAATTGTCAGTATAGAAATTGAGCATGTCTACTTTTAGATAATGTCTGAATATAACATCCGAATCACTACCTCCTCTCCTGATAGACCTCTACTGTTTCAACATCCTCAAACACATTGTGTTTTGGCCTTAATAAGTGCCTATAATTTTGTACTCACAGTTTTCTGAGTGATAGTGATAGATAATTTTATAGTGATAGAAGAAGACATTTTACATACCCAGCCAATAGAATATAACAGCTACTGTCTTATTCCCAGGGAAGTCTAACTACTAGATGAATGATAGGAAACCTTCTTTTTGAGGACTGAGTTCTACTAGAGTTTTGTGGCCCATCTTAAACCAGAAAACCTACATTGCTTCCAAAGGAAGCAGTGCCGTAAATAGATTTTCTTCTTTAAGTCTCAGCTAAGTGTGTGTTCAGTGTCTTTACACCTTGGTTTCTGAAACAACTCTAGTCTTCCCGCAGGAGTGAAGTAGATAGCTACTCTCTGTATTTTTAATAAGAGATAAAGTTCCTCTTGTTAAATGAAAAAGGGTTTTTAAAAAAATTATCATATGATGTAGCTAATTGAGATCTTCTTTCTTTTTTTAAATATATATTTTTATTGATTTCAGAGAGGAAGGGAGAGAGATAGAAATATCAATGATGAGAGGGAATCATGGATTGGCTGCCTCCTGCACGCCCCCTACTGGGGGAGGCGGTCAAGTCCGAAACCCGGGCATGTGCCCTTGGCTGAAATCGAACCTGAGACCCTTTTGTCCGCAGGCCAATGCTCTATCCACTGAGCCAAACTGGCTAGGGCGCTAATTGAGATCTTAATTATCTAGTCCAGTCCCCTCACTTAATGGAATTGGAAACTGAGGCCCAACCTAGAAGGTCATTACCTAAGACACACAGACTGATAGCAGCAGAGCTGGGACCAGAACAAAGAGTCCTGATCTGTGTTCAGGATGATAATAATAGATGCTTATCTGGGGGGATGAGATGATAAACTTCCTACAGGCCACACTTCTTATGAGGTTCTCTCTGCTTTCCCCAGACAAAAGTATCCACTCTCTTGGGAATGAATTTTGAAATTTCTCCATGTTCCTTGGATTAAAAAAAAAATGCTTTGTTTAGTGGTAGTTGGTTAAGGGGGTGACGAGGGAACAGGAGCAGAACATGCTTGTGCCAGGAGCTGGAGAGCTTCCCAGCTTTGACCATACTCTTTCCCAATGACTCTTGGCAGAATTACCTCAAGAAGCAG